TTCTGGATACTTCTGTTGCCATTCTGAGCCCCAGAAGAAAAACCTTTCGTTCCCTGGCATAGCAGGCATTGAGGCTGTGTGTGGCAGGACCCCCTGTAACACTTGGTGCAATCTCCATTGTTCCTCCTGAGACTACATAAATAACTACTGTAGATTATGAGAGAGCCAAGATTATTGCTTTTCCTTCTCTGTCTTCCCCTCCTGTATTTCTTTGCTTTGCTTTCCTCTCCCCATCCCTCCCCCACCACTTCTTAGCTCCTCCCTCCCTCTTTTCCTTCTTCCATTTCTCCCTTCTTCCCTTCCTTCCTCCCTCCTTCCCTCCCTCTTCCTTACTCCTTTGTCCTCCCTCTCAGTATCTTTTTTTTTTTTTTTTTTGCAGAACTGGGGATTGAACTCAGGCCCTTGTGCTTGCCAGGCAAGTGCTTATTCCACTGAGCCATCTCCCCAGCCCCTCCTCTCAGTATCTTGCTAGGTCTGACTGGAGCACAGAGACATCTCTGTCACAGTCCAAAAGCAGTGATCACATGAACAGCCCAGGGAAAATGTGGTGGCCAAAGGTTTCTGAACTTGATGGCTCTTTTATGATTTGTATTTCTATTTACCTATGAATGTGTGCTTTCTCATTACATTTTTTTTTTAAATTAAAACTTTGTGCTGTGGCAGTTCCAGTTCTGGCTGGATGTAAGAATGGCAGCCTTATCCATTTTTTAAAAAAGCAAAATGTAGAACAGAGCAGAGGGTTAGAGAGAACCTCAGAGGAGGAAAACAGGGATGGGAGCTGATACTCAAATCCCTGCTCTAGGAGTTATGGTGCCGTTGTTTCATCTCCTATAAAATGGTAGGACAATCAAAATAACCATCTTCTGGTGCTTTTCAGTGAAATAATAACATGTGTAGCATAAATCAAATTCCCACATCTTTGTTTGTCTCTCAAGACTCGAGTAGCTAATAAATAGGACTTCAGACTATTTATTGCAGTTTTTCTCAATGTGTACTCCTTAACCAGAAAGGGATAACAGGAAAGGAGTTTAAAGACAAATAATGATATACAAGCATGTTTGATTTTGTGAAACTATGAGATATAATAAGATGTAAGCATGAAGGGGGATTTCAGCTTTCATTCCTCACCTGGACTAAGGCCTTGCAAGTGGTGTGTGAGATTAACATCGAGTGTTGACAACGTGGAGTTCCAGGGGTCTGCTCTGCGTCTCTCTGTCGGCATTGCAGCCTGGGAGGGCTGTTTGCTGTCACCCTGGGCCAGACGGTGGGTGACAGCTTGATTTGGGGCTGGGCTTGATTCTGTACTGCCAAGTGAGCAGAGATGGTGAGAAACTAGATGCTATTTGTTACACAGTGAAGCGTCCAAGGTGATTTTCACACACAAGCCACAAATACCATAGCACAGCTTGCTGCTCCAAGGAGGAAGCAGCCAAGATTAGGAGTGGACCGATCTGGACTGCAGTCCTACTTCTCCCCCTGCTGCCGACATCAGATGGGCTTGAACAATTCTTAGCCTCGCTCAGAGTGAGTTTTCTCAGCTGCAAAAGGGAGCTGCTGCTCCTGACTTCGGAGAATTGGGATCCTAAAGAGTTGGGATAATGGATTCAATATGATTTTAGAAACTTTAAGTCACCCAGTGAAACTTAGAAATAGAAAATACTTTGATTCATTGAAGAATGAATGAATTCTTCAATGTCTTCCCCACTGTCCTTACGTGGTGGCCGAAGGTCTCTGACCCTGATGGCTTATTGGCTCTTTTATGATTTGTTTCTATTTACCTGTAAATATATGCTTTCTCATTAGATTTTTTTTTTTTTAAATTGAAACTTTGTGCTGTGGCAGTACCAGTTCTGGCTGGATGTAAGAATGGCAGCCCAAGGGCCGGCCAGATAGCTCAGCGGACTAAAGTGGTGAGTGAGGCTGGGCGTGGTGGTGCTTGCCTGTAATCCCAGCTCTTGGGAGGCTGAAAGCAGGAGAATCACTACGAATCTGATCTACATAATGAGACTCTATGGACCTTGTTGACCTTGTACCAAATACATAAAAGGAAAAATCCTCTCTTTAAAGGAAAAAGAATGGCAGGCCTATCCATTGTTGGTTTTTTTTTTTTTTTTTTTTTTTTTTTTTAAAGCAAATGTAGAATAGAGTAGAGGGCTAGAGAGAACCTCAGAGGAGGACAGCAGGGATGGGAGCTGCCACTCTTATCCCTGCTCTAGAAGTTACGGTGCCATCATTTTATCCCCTAAAGAATTCTAGGATAATCAAAATAACCATCTTCTAGTGCTTCTCAGCATCAATTGAAACAATCCATGTGTAACACAATATGCATGGAATACAGTGACTGCTGAATAGTTTTACTACTGTTATGATTAGAAACGCAAAGTTGTCCCCATAGCAAAGCCCCCCACTGATGAGGTCAAAGGCAGAGGTACAGAACCCTCAGCTATGTCGCAGTGTCAGCTCTGTAATTGGTGGCCCACTCTGCTGAGCCTAGCACATGTCCGCTGTTATGGTTTCAGTCTAGTTGTCCCCCCAAAGCCACATGCAGTATGGGGCAGCTTCTGGCGTTTGTGATTGATTATTGTGGGTGTAGATGCTGCACCTGCTCTGGGGAAGGTAATTTGCATTACAATGTAAGGAGGGGAGAGAAGCCAGCCAGCTGCCTGAGTGGCTGCCCATCCCTGTCCCTGTGCTCTCTGCTCTTTGCTGTTGGCCGCTGTGAACAACTGCCCTGTGCCGTGTGCCGCTCTGCCTTGGAGCCAGCTGAGTATGGACTGAAACGTCCAGTAATGGCGAGCTGAATAAATGTTTCCTTCCTTCATTTTGGGTGTCGGATATTTGTCCCAGCAACGAGAGCAAAGCAACTGAGACACCCACCCACTGCGTGGCTCAGTTATTTGAAATGCAGCTGTCTTCAGTTACTCTTAGGCTCCAAGAATAACTCCGTGCAAGTCTGATTTGATTTGACTTAGTCATCTTTTTCCTGGCATAGCATAATAGCCAATTTCGAGTTTCTTAAATTTAATTGATTATCTTTCAAATCTGTTGCTTCTCCTGCTCTGTGCCCCTCTCCTCTGTTTCTGTGCGGGACTTTCCCTCATCCCTCCTTCGGCTGCTCCATCCGTCTTCCATTTCTCCCTCCCTCCCTCCCTTCTTCCCTCCGTCCTCCTGCTCGGTATCTGCGCTAGGCCTGACTGGAGCACAGAGAAACCTCTGGCACAGTCCTAGAGGAGCGGTAACATGAGCCGCCCAGAGAAGACGAGGTAGGAATCTCGGGTACTCTGACATCTTGGTTTGTAAGAGACACCACCCAGAGAAATTAAGAAGGTGCCCAGGTCCAGCCTTTGAGCTGAACCCTGACGGATGGCTAGAATTTAGCCACACGAAAGGCTTAGTGATATAGGAGAAATGTAGCTCCCAGCCTGTTAGGTGTCAGAGGTGCTGAGTTCATGACCCCTGAATATTGAAGAATGAATTTCAAGGGACAACAGCAGGAGAGGCTTATTCAGACATAGCTGCTGAGAGACAGGAGGCTTCCCAAAAGTGGGTTGTCACCAAGGCCCTTTGTCAGGGACAATTTATTTATTTATTTATTTTAATATTTACTTATTTATTTATTTGGTACAGGGTCTCACTACACAGTAGCTCAAACTCTTAGTGATCCTCCTGCCTCAGCCTCCCCAGTACTGAGATTACAGGCATGCACTGCCATGCCGTTTCAGTGGCTGGCATGGCATGCAGTACTGGGGATTGAACTGGGTCCTTGCACTTACTAGGCAGGCACTTAGACCACCGAGCTATCTTCCCAGCCCTGTCTTTATTCTTTGTGCTAACTGTATATTAACTTCTATGTAATGTAGCTGCCTATAATGTTAGGAGAGGGGAAGAGCGTAATTAGGGTATGGAAGCAGCAGGAGCTGGGCTCTAGGGGGCAGTAGGAGAGATTCGGTACAGCAGTTGTCTTTCCTCTGTTTGCTTTTTGTGGAGTCAGCTCAGACACTCTTCAAGACAAGAAGGGCTATCAGTTGGAGATGACGATTCCCAGCACTGACTTGCTGGGCTTAACTTCTTGCTGTCCTGCTTGTCCACTGGTGTCATCAGACATCCAAGTGGCTTTTATATTTAGTCTATGTCCACTCAGAGAATAACTCCTGGTATGACACCAGTCTCTAAGGTACCACTGGGCAGCTGGCAGCCACTCCCTCCTGCTCCTTCTAGCTTTATTCTGTAATGAAGTCCTCAAGGAGCTGCAAGGGGAAATGATTTCAACTAGGATCATGCAACAGGGCACCCGGGCTGACATCCTGCCAGTCGCTGTGGAGTGCGTGCGGGCCATGTAGTCAGCTTCTCTCATCCATTCATTCTGCTCCTGTCCCCGGGGTCTTGGTGCTCCATAACTCAGGAACAGTGTAGGGCACAATACAACATGGTCTCAACCCTCAAGGTGATTGAATACGGTGAGAAGACAGGCAGAAATGGTTAGGGCACAAGTGAGGAGGAGTGGTTAACACAGTTATCACACTTTTATTTTTCTTTTGTCACACTGGGAGGACATTAAAGGAGCTGTTGCAGAAGAGGTGAAATTTGAGATAAGCCTCAAAAGATGGAGAGAACTTAATTGACTTGATGTCCTTACCCTCAGAGACATATAGAAGCATTGCCAAGCGTGCTTTTCTCTGCCTGAGAAGCTTTGCTTGTGACTGTAGCCCCCCCCCCCCCCCCAGGAAATTAGCTCTTACTTGAGATGTTACCTCCCTGCCCTGGCTTTGCTGTCTGTGTCAGTGCCCCTGTTTACATTCAGGTTCCTTAGTAGATGGTGACTGGCCTCTGCCCCTGAAGATCCCATGCCTGACCACTTTCCAGTGGTGTATAAGTTTGTCTAGAATATTTACTAGTTCCATAATCCCACAAAGTTATAGTAAAATGATGTTTTTCTGTGTCGAGTTTTAGCCTACCGATGTCTCTTAAGTTCATGGAGGTTTTGACATCTATTTCCTCAGGATGAATTTCAGACTTACTCTTGGAAAAAGGTGACATGGATCTACCTGTCAACATTAGGCAATGCATTTGGTCTGACTCCGGGACACCCCCTCATTACAGATGAGGACTATGTGATAAATAGAGCCATCCAAAAGCCAGGCCTCAAGGTAAGTATTAAGTTATGGCTATGGGTGATGCCAGAGAAATTTCAGTATTTCCCCTCTTTTATTCCTCTGATTTCCACTGTGCCAGACTCTGTAGGGAGAGGAGAAAATGGCAAAGGACCTGAACTGTGGAATCAGGTGGAGCACAATCCAGGTCTTGCCTTCCTCCTTCCAACCAGTGCAACTTTGAATAATTTTCTTGCATCTGATGAGCCTCAATTTTCTCATTTATAAAATGATAATAAAGCCTATCTTTAACATTAATTGATTAAATTCAATAAATCAAAGAATGCAAAACCCAGTACAATGCCAGGCAAATAGGAGCTGTCCAATATGTGTTAGTTCTTAATAGCTTCATTCCCTGTATGTATAGCAAAGTTAATTCTGTAATAAAGTAAGCACCCAGGACTGTCCCGTGGAATTTTCTTATATCTGCAAAATGACCTTATTTCCAATTTTGTTATTCAAATGTATGCAGGTTACCCCTTTCTGACAGAGTAAATTAGGACTCCTTTGATTGCGACTATTAACATTTAAAAACACATTTTATAAAATAGAAACACATTTTACTTTTATAGATGTAGACAGCTGTTTAGTTTTGTGATCTCAAGGTCAAGTTTTCTAAAGAATGGAAGTCAATTGCTGAACAGTCTCTCTGTTGTCAATTGTTAGCACCCAGTTGTCCTTCTTGCCAAAATATGCAAAGACAAAAGAGGTCAAGCTCCTCCAAGAAGCAGGCTTCCTCTTCTGCTGGGTGGCCATTCACCTAGACAAGTGCGCTTCCCCAGTTAGCTAGACAGACATGGATTCAGAGTTTACTGCCCTAAAACTGACTCAAATAAGTAACTATAAAGACAAGTGAATGAACTTTAAAATTAGCAAACAAGAAGAATATGGCAGCATAATTCATAATATCTAACTCTTGAAAGCAGCCTATTTGTCTGCCAACAGAGGAATGGATAGAGACAGTGTGGTATTTATACACAATGGAGTACTACTCTGAATAAAGAAATTTGAGTCAATTATGGGGAAATAAATGCACCTTGAGACATTAATATTGGTGCAAATAAATAAGATGCACAAATTTAAATATCACCTGGTTTCTCTCATATAAGAAACCCAAAGTATAAATAAAGAACAAAATAAAAGATGGTCACTAAAGACAGGGAGCTAGATCTGAAAAAGAGGACCAAAGATGGAGAGTGAAGGGGATGGAGGGGATGAAGAGAAGATGTTACATACATAGACTAACCCCCATGATGAATGTAACCATTGTATACTGAGAATATACACTAATAAAAGTAAAAAAAGGTTGCAGGGGGGGAACTACATTGGAAATTTTGATCCACAGGTTTGATGTCTTCATTTACTAGGGAGTTAGGCTGCTTACTGTCTCCTAGAGTCTTTCATTGCTTATAATCCCTTCTGCCCATTTCTCAGAGCTATTGTGAACCTACAGTGTGAATGTTGATATTAGGGTGATTTGTGAATGGCAATTAACTACATTCATACTAAGGTTTGAAGCCATCATTATAATTGGTGGAGAGGTCATAGCCTCAGCCTTGATAACACTGATGGGAATAATGATTATAATAAGAATCCCAAGATGATAATTATTTGGTGGCTTTTACGGGAATTGAGAGACAAGTAAAGAGATATGTTGGGGTTTTAAATGTACGCAAAGAGGAGTGTTTTGTAGATGACTTGCCAAACTGAAACCCAGTGCTTCAGTTTTCCTCACCTCACACATCTTGGATCCTGAATTTGAGAGATTTTTTTCAGAGACTACTTGGAGTCTTACATTCTTGGAGCAAATGTTGTAGAGCTAAAATTCTAACCTGTAAAGTGATGCAACCAAAATGAACTTCAGGAGCAAAGTGAAGATGAAAATATCTGCCCCACCACAGGATGATGAAAAGCACTAATGACAATGCGCAGTAAGCTCCAAAATACTTGGCAAATAGGGGCTGCGACGAGTGGCATTATTTGCAAAATTGCAAGGAATATTGAAAAGGAAATTAAGTCTGAAGGCAAGAAACCTGAGGTTCCCAATGTGAGCCATGGTGACCCACGTGCTCCAGGGCTCGTCACTTTCACATGTGCCCTCCTGCCCCAAATCCACAGCTTACGAAGGAAGTGTCATTGCCAGAGCAACTGACAATTTCATAATGAAAATCATTTGGAAATAAGATATGCTTTTAAATAATGTATTTTGCAATCAATCTCATTGAAACAAATCCATTCCATAAAAATTTAAAAATATAGCACTTAACATTCTTATGTGGTGACTGTAAAATGTGTGTGTGCGTGTGTGTGTGTGTGTGTGAGCATCTGCCATACTTTCAAGTAGGATTATAATTCTAGAATTTGTGACTTAGAGATTTAAACTATGCTTCTAGCCAACATATGGCTTTACAAAGCATTCACTCATTTATTCAATAGAAAATGTACTTATCATGTGCCAGCTATATATTCTTCCCAGTTTTAGAATTTACCTCATGATTTTACTGACTACAATATTCTTAAGCATATAATACAGAAAAGAGCCAAAGTCTGGCCCACTATTCAATTGATGCATGGGACAAGTGATGTGCAGGGACTTTTAGTAGAAGTTTTCAAGGATCCCTATAACTGGAAACCTTTTTCACTGCTCTTCAACTTTAGTTGCCATTAAAACTACCTAGGAAGATATGGTATTTATGCCCGAGATGTACTGCGGACAAATTAAATTAGGATCTCTTGGCAGGGGCACTAGGCAACCGCATCTTTAAAAACTCCCCAGATGCTCCTAATGAGGAACCCGAGGCTCTCACCATGGCTCCACAGCCATATAGAAGTGTTTCTCTCAGTGGTTTGTGAGGTTGCCAGATCACGGAAATTCAGACTCACACATAAGGTTACTTAAAGAAATCACAAGTAAGAAGGCACAACTGTCCTACATGTTAATCCTTCCTTTTCTGTCCACTGACAGTGCTTCCAGAAATCTCACTCCCTGGAGCACATTTTCTTGCATTTTCTCTCTCTTCCTTAGTATCAGCTGCCAGCTTAATCCTTTTCAGAGTTTCTTCTGCAGGTTGCTACACAAGTCTACTGCCTGTGAGATAAGACCCCAAGGGCCTTATTCTAGCATTTACATCTTCTCATAATCCAGTCTTCACTTGGATTTCCAGCTTAACTATTCACTCTGCAGTCTCACAGTCTTATTGTGTCGCTGCCTCTCCTTCCATTACCTTGCACAGAACTCCTTTGAAATATTCTCTTCCTTTATAGCTGAGTGAATTCTTCCAACCCTTCACTGCTGCGGTTTCAAGTGTACTCTCTTCCATAGGTCCTCTTGTCATCTGCTCTCCGGATATTTCTACAACATTTTATGATTGTCTTTTTACTTTGCTATATTTTTGTTTGGCACATACATCTTGGACTATATGGTATAGTCTTCTTTTTTGAAATATATTTTTTGTTTTGGAATAGATTTTTCTTTTTTATGAGGTTATAAGAGAGTGGAATGCAGAGACTAAATTTCACTTACACATATATTTATCTTTGTAGTAAACCCAGGATACATGTTCACTGAATGATGATTTTTAATAAAGATGCCATTTGTGTAGTAGGAAGAATATGACAGTATAGAAAAAGATAAAATCTTTTTTTAATTTTAAAGAGAAGAAGAAAAACAGAAATAAAGTGAAATAGAACAGTTTCAGGTCAGGCTAATAGGAGAGTAATAATAACTGATACATTGAGCATTGAATAATTATATAGGATTCTCTCTTTGCCTCTTTCACAAATGCTACTTTGGTCACTTAGTCACTGTAATCTCCAATCTTCAAATTAGAGATTTTCTTGGTACTTTTCTTTTTGCAGGTGAGATGCATAAAAGTACAGAAAATAAGATATGTTTGGAATAATTTAGAAGGACAGTTTCAAAAGATTGGGTAAGTTGTTTCACAAAGCTCATCTAAAGAAGAACAATGGTAACTCAAAACTATTATTGCTAAATGTATCCTTCTCATTATTATTTTAGCTCTCTGGAAGACTGGCTCAGTTCTGCCAAAATACATCTAAAATTTGGATCAGGCCTAACAAGAGAAGAACAAGAGATTAGGTATCATGCACACTGTTCTCTATATGAACTTGAAAGAGTTGTTACTGCCAAATATTGAGCCCAGTGGGTACTTATTGTAGTTGATTGATATAAAAAAGTTCGCATTATTATAAAGTTTTTTTTTTTTAAATGTATTTGGTGCAGGGTCTCACTACACAGCTCAGACTCATAGTGATCCTCCTGTTTTCAGTCTCCCCAGAGCTGTGATTACAGGCATGTGACACCACGCCCCCTTTCAGTGGTTGGTTCAGGGTGTCTCGGGGCAGGGCTGGCATGGCATGTGGTGCTGGTGTTCAAACCCTGCTCCCTGTGCTTGCCCTGTGCTTCTTGGTGCTCAGTCTGCTGAGCTATCTCACTGGCCCTTAGTTGACCTTATTCAATTACATGTGTTCACACCCATTATTTCACTTTCAGAGCAACCTTGTAGGGGAGGTAGGAAAGATACCATGACCGTCTCAACATAACTGCTGCAAAATCTGAGACTCAATACTGCAACTTCTCTTGCCTTTTGAATTATGCTCTTTGTTATTTCCTATATGCTACTTCTGGAGGTATTAAAATATTTCAAGTTTGTATAACTAGAAAATCTTACTTTTAGTTTTCAAAGGTATGTTTGCTAAGTATAAAATTCAAAGAGGACAGATCTTTTCTTTCAGTCCTTTAATTAGTCTAGTTTTTTACACACTTGGTCATTTTTTTTTCTTTCTAATGTGGAATAAGGTGCTATTTAATTTTGTTCTTCCATAGCTAATATTTTTTAATGCATATGCTTTAATGATTTTTTCTTTACAATAAGTTTTGGACAATTTCATTTTTGTGTATCTTGGTATGATTTTATTTAAATTTCTTATGCAAAAGGTTCATTTTTCTTGGAAATATGGTATTACAAGTTCAACTAAATTCAGAAATTTTAAATCTTTAAATATTTATTGCCTACTGTTTACTTTGAGAATTCTAATTATATAAATATGTTTTTTGGTTTTGACAGTGGAAAAAAAAAAGAAGAAGCACTTGCAAATTCCTTTGTAGACAAAAAAATAAAATAAAATAAATAAAAAGTAAATAAATAAATCTGAGGCTCAGAGAGATCTAATGGCCTAAGCAAGGTCACACAGAAAGAGACAGAGGAAGAACTGAGTCCTCAGCTTAGCACTGCAGGTGTAGGGCTCTTTCTCTACACAATGCTTTTAAAGGTTATTATGATAATTGGACTGAGCCTGTTTTGATTATAATCAGGAAGTACACAGAGTAGCATGAAAACACAGCTAAAAAGAAATACTGACACATCTGACCAATGCCATGCAAAGTGTGACTAGCTCTGCGGGTCCGAATCAATCCCGAGGTAGCAGGGAAAGGTTCGGGGAGTGCATGTGGTCTCTGTGCTGGGCCTTAGTTTCCTAGTTTGGAAAAGGGGGCAGAAGGACTCTAAAAAGTCCTCACTGGGCTTAAGTTCCCTGCTCTTCCCCTTCCCCATTTCTAGCACTTCAAAGAGACCTAGAGTCAAGCAACATCAGAATCTTGTGGAGGTCGTTAGGAAGAAAAGCAAGATCTGTGGCTGCAGGGTCTGACCCTACCGAGTCAGAATCTCCATCCTAATGAGGCGATCCGATCTAAAGTAAAGTGTGAGGGGCCCTTCGCTAACACATTCAGCGAAGCTGTTTGATCTGTCTGTGGGAAAGGCACAGGGAGAGTGGTTTGTGTTCTAGACAGCAAAATCACTTGAAAGTGTCATTCCTCCGTGTAATCAAAGGAGCGCATCTCTGGGTCTTCAGTTAGAGGGATGCACGATTCTGTGTACTGACCTATTTTGGAGAGCCCGGGACCTTTCCCCTCACATTAGGATAAATTATGCAGCTTCCCAGAACTTCTGAACAGGGGAAGAAAATAGGTACAGTATTTGCTTATCAGTCAAACTGTTCCCTTTTAATGACTTCCCTGATACACTTCCATGGTACCAGAGTTGGGGACAGAGTTTAGAATATACCAATTCAGCCACTACTTGAATAAGACAAGGGTAGTATTAGACACTGAACTTATCACTTGGAAAAACATTTAGATCGATGGGAGTGTTAACTAACAAAACAACCTAGTTGTTCAGAGAAGGTTAGGAATGTTACATAACAAGGGCGATTTATCCAGAAGCCAGAGAGAGAGAAGCATGGCTGACCTTTTTCTGAATGGGCAGGAAATGAGTTCGTTTTCGTTATTAGTGACTTGTGATCTCTCCCACTAGGAGGCTAATATGTGGGCCTAATACTATTGATGTTGAAATCATTCCAATTTGGAAGCTGCTCAGCAAGGAGGTAATTTCCCCAGTATCTTCGCTCTTGGTGTTAACATAGAAAATAAAGTACACTTCTAACCAAACAGTAAATAATGCAACTTATTAACGAATGTGAATGAGAGATATTTTAAAAGATTACCAGACATAGTGCCTTTCATATCTTTCATCTACTTTTTCCCCCTCAAGTTT